GGATATGTGTTGATGCAGATGAGGAGGGTAGTCGCCTATGCTTCACGACAGTTGAAGAAGCATGAGGTAAACTATCCTACTCATGATTTAGAGCTGGGAGCAGTGGTGTTTGCATTGAAGATTTGGAGACACTATCCCTACGGAGAGCTGTGTCACATATACGCTGATCATAAGAGCTTGAAATACGTGTGTACTCAAAAAGGGTTAAACATGAGACGACGACGGTGGATGGAGTTGATAAAGGACTACCATCTAGTTAGTGAGTACCATCCAGGTAAGGCAAACGTTGTAGCAGATGCCCTCAGTCAGAAGAGTTCGTCTGAGGCATTGCTGACTAGTTTGAGGGCATTGAGAGCCCAATTGGATGTATATCCGCCTGTAGAGGTACGTGAGGGTGTGAACTACGCTGTGCAACCGATTAAGGTCATTGATAGAAAGGTGAAGAAACTGCAGAGTAAAGAAGTCCCAATGGTTAAAGTCCTTTGGAAGAGCGATCGCGTCGAAGAAGAGACATGGGAAATAGAGGCTTTGATGAGGGAGCAGTATGCTTCCCTATTTGAGTAGAGTTGCGAATTTCGGGGACGAAATTCCTGTTAAGGGGGGGTGAACTTGTGACACCGCACCAGAACGTCCTTGAAAAACTCAATATAAAAAAAATTAATTTCTATGTATTGAATTTTCGATTTCCAAACAATTGTAAAACGATTAATGTTTTACGTAGCGCATGATCGATTTTTGTATTGTTCAAACTCGTATATTAGTGACGGGTTTGCAAATACTTATTTGGGCCTTATTAATGAACATAAGAGCCCAACATTATCTAAATAATGTTACATAACCTTTCAAGACAAGTTGAGGAAGGTCGGGCGGCCCAAGCATTATTTTGGGCCCAACCTGCTAAAAATAGTATGTATTCAAGAAGGGCGTCCGAGGCCCACTCGAGGGTGACCCACATGGCTAGTAGTCTAATAATATGAATGACTAAGAGCATCTCCAATGCTACAATGTGCACAGTGCACACGTGGCATGAGAGATAGCCACATAAATATGAGTAAATAAATTCTTTCTCTCCTTATTTGAACGATTTTATACAGTTTTGGTAAGTTTTTCTCCACAATGTCAAGGAGACCGTCTAAATGTTGACACTGCAGTCGACATTGCAGGAAAAAACTTACCAAAATTATATAAAATCATTCTAATAAGGAGAGTGATAATTTATTTGCTAATATTTATGTGATTATCACACATGCCACATGTGCACCGTGCACATTTTAGCATTGAAGATGCTCTAATGTCAACATAAGTGATTGAATGATTAGAGAAGAATGCAAATACCTATGGTCCCATTTTTGGTATTATTGAGCTAAATAATAACGGGAGTAGGTTTTTCTTCTATAATATTCATCATATAAATTATTGGGATGATCCTACACATGGTTGAGACCAATAAAATGATGTAGGGAGTTGACTTGGTCTATATAAATTATAAGGAGTACAAAAAGACATCTCATGACAAGGATAAAACAATAGGGTCTATCTTTTCATTTTGGAAGTATTGGTAGGTATTTTGGACCCCAAATTGAATGGGATCATTTGGGAACCATCCCACATGACCTTGGTACCTGCAAGACAGAGAAAAATGGGTGAGACAACTATGTGGGGCGGACATTTGACTTGAGAGCTACAACATTACAAAAAGGAAATAAAAGAGGAGGTCCACACCATGTTTAATTGCAATAAAACACCCTACCCTTTCTTTTTGTGAACCACATGCTTAGATATCATTTTGATAGCTCCTAAACACCTCCCCTCACCCCCCATTCGAACTGAAAGGGATAAGAAAGAAGGGAGAGCCTCACACTCAAAAGAGAAAGAGATAAGGGAGCTGGCCGCAGGGTTAATCTCCAGTTCGTGGGGCTCACTGTTTGGTTCGTATCTTGAGAAATACTCATACAAAGGGGGCGTGTGAGGTGTCCACTGAAAGCTCTCAAGAAGAGGAATCCATAGACGTGCGGTTTGAAGGAAACGGAGCAGTTTAAGGCCTCCAAATCGTCCGAACAAAACGCAACCTCGCAGAATACGTTTTTGTATTCAAAGTTAGGGAACGAATTCGCCGGAAAAACACCCGTTCTAGGGGCTGTTTTCGTATCGACATTTAGGGGTTAAGCTAGCACTTTGAGGAGGCTGTTTAACACTCATATTTAAGCAAGGAATCAGTTCATAATCCACCTTGACCGGAGCTTTGACCATTGGATGAAGAAGGAAAAGTTTAAAGCTCAATTAAGGTGAGGATCGACATCTAATTGCTTACAACTTGTAGGTTAAGCATGAGATTACCTAAATGCCTAAATCATAATTTTTCATGGATTATTATGATTAAATATTGATGAAATATTGATATAGTTCCCAAAGAATGAAATTGGAAATGATTTGAGGATGTATGAATAATATGAGATTAAATGAGTTATAAATGAACTATTTTGTGAAATGGGGATTTTACTCATGTATGAAATATGTGGATACATAAATGGATATTTATGTATTGAAGTTGAATATTTAAGTTGCTGCTACATACTTATAAATATGTAGAGAATTACAAAATGAGCATATTTGTATGATGACAATAATCTTAATAGTATTGAAATACTAGTTAGTGATTAATTGAAATTGTTGATAGAATTGATCCTAAGTATTGGATTGTATGGAATGCACTTGAATGTACTTCAAGTGCATAAAATGACTTAGTATGAAGCTAAGAGTAAGTTATGGGCAGTCATTAAGAATGACTCAAGGTATATTATTGAGATGTCAATTCTAGGCATAGGTTTGCTTAGGAATTGGACTATAATGAGGAATTAGAGCCGGACTCTATGATTGCATGGAAATGTAGTTGGGCCGAGCCCTTGCCATGTAATTGTGATTTGCATGGAAATGTAGTTGGTCCGAGACCTTGCCATGTAAATTGTGATTTGCATAGAAATGTAGTTGGGCCGAGCCCTTGCTATGCAAATGTGATAGGATGTAATTGTGATTTGCATGGAAATGTAGTTGGTCCGAGACCTTGCCATGTAAATTGTGATTTGCATAGAAATGTAGTTGGGCCAAGCCCTTGCTATGCAAATGTGATAGGATGTAAATTGTGATTTGCGTAGAAATGTAGTTGGGCTGAGCCCTTGCTATGCAAATGTGATAGGATGTAAATTGTGGTTTGCATAGAAACGTAGTTGGGCCGAGCCCTTGCTATGCAAATGTGATAGGATGTACTTGACATAAAGGATTGCATAGAAATGTAGTTGGGCCGAGCCCTTGCTATGCAATAGTAATGTGATGAACTCTATGAATTGTCGTGGCTTATAGTCACGGGGAATGGGAATGGTGATTTCTAAATGAACATGGGCCCACGAGCCGATTACTTGACTTTTATATAAAGTAAGTATATTATCAAACGGGGTAACTTAGGGTTACCACTATATTGTATTATCACCTTATTTGAGGGTCTTGTGTTTGAAATACTTGTTGTATATCCCTTAGATGCCATCCACACCAGTACTTTATAGCCGTATAGAGTACTGACCCCTTCGGGGGCGTCCCACCACCATTTCAGGTTGAGGCTCGAGCTTGCTACCTGTGCCCGTTGCTCGGGTGATCCTTTGGAGAGAAGACGTGGTTCGTGCTTCCTCCATTCTGATTTGAACACTAATAAATTTGCTCATGGATATTTTACTATAGAGCCTGCGTGCTCATGAAATGCCTTGTGTGGCCTTCTTGTTTAAAACAATGTTTTCCGCTGCGTTATGAATTACTTATTATGTTTGTTTATGGATGTATATGTGTGAATGATATTCAAGACGCCTTGTATAATATGAATGTGTTGGACTGCGGTTGACTATTCGTATTGTACGGCGGGTTGTTGACGTGTCCGGATAGGTCCGGGGCGTGACACAATAAATGTGTTAGATTTTTAGTTTGTTTTTCTCACAAGAAGCTAGAAATAGATAAAAATATTCTCTCTGGACATTTTGAGGCCAAGCTTTGTAACTTCCATGAGTCCTCATTGATGTAGGTAAATTAATTACCTGTTTAGAATTATTATTTCCAACCATTTTTTATTTCTTTTTTCATAATAGACTTTTATTTACTGCTATTTCCTTTAGCGTACGCATTTTTAGGTTACTGCAGATGAGTTTGAAGTTGTTGAAAAAAAATATACGAAAGCTTTGTATGAGATAAGTGTTGAGAAACAGGCACAATGTTATTGTACTCCCACTAGGCAACACTAACATGTCTCACATACATGCTAATGGAAGATATGAGGTTAATGAAGTGCTAATTGAAGACAAGAGGTTAATGAAGTGCCAATTGAAGACATGAGACTGCTGAAGTGCTGATGAACACAACAGTCTGTTGATTGTACTCATACATTATCTATTTTGTATTCAAAAGAAATGTATTGATGTTTATGTTCATATTCGTGTGATTTATATTGTATCTATGCATGAGAAATATATCTAAATTTCATTTCAGCATTGGAATCTATCAAATTTCATGTTGCTTCATATATTTGTACTAAAGTTTGTACTTATATTTATGCTTGAATGAATTTAATGTCTATGTCTGTGACACTAAGGACGTTTTACTGTTTACTGATGGACTGTATTGCTTACTTCAACCAGGATTATAAACCAACTCAACACTAAATAAGAGTGACCAAGCTTTTGATATGCCTCTAAAAAAGAAGATTACATATAGTCAAATCAATTGTCACCAATATTAATTACGAACAACGTTCAATGACAAAAAGAAGGAATTTTACATGTTTTTTCTTTCCCAACATCCTAATCCAAATTATTACAAAGCATGTAGTCTAACTACTTCCATTTTGATGCATACAGCAGTTGCTCTGTCGTCAATTTTAGCAGTAGCTATCAACTTCTTCCTTCAAAACTTCACTCATATCTTTATCCATCATTAGAAATTTAGCAAATTTGATGACAAACATACCACAATTTTACATGAACGTGTTTACATATAAAGGTGAGCATTTATAATGTATTAAGATATTTAAAGAATATCAAAATACACTCAACATACACCCATCATCTTGTTGTGGACGATTATAGAGCACATCAATACGGACTGATATTTTCTAAATTAATGTCTTATTATGGACTGATTAATGCGCACAAGTAGACCTTAATCAGTCCTTTGTTTTGTTTTCTTGATCATTTGTATTGTGCATATGAATGAGAAAATAATGAAGGGAAACCCTTAGAGCCTACGAATTGTCATATGTGACAGAGGAAAAGTAAGCTTTGAAGCAAATAATGATCGAACTCCTTCTCTTGCAAATAATGATTGGAGTTTTCGAGGTCTTCACCGAGTAATCTGATGAACACCCCATGAAGCCCAGGGGGCTGGGATGGACGGAAAATGACTCAATTGCTTCCGTCACCGAGCGGGTTAAAAGAGGAAGACCATCACCGAGCGGGTTAAAAGAGGAAGAGGAGTGGGCAGGGAGGGGCTTGAGTGGTCTCATCGTTGTCGCCATGAAGGGAAGGAATTGATGGAGCAAATGATTTGGAAGATGACAAGATTTGGAAGCTGCTGTTCTTCGTAATCGATCGTATACTTCCCAGTCAATTTTTCCGGTTGAGCTTTCTACAAGTTTTCCATCGAGGCTCATGGCTATGCGGGTGGAAGGGATATTCAATCCAAATGGAACGTGTTCTGCTCCGTAATTAGATTTAAGGGTATTTTGGTCAAAGGAGGTGTAGTTTCGTTCTACGTTAATCCTTCGTCCTAAATTTGGAAAGTTGTCATGTTTAAGTCTTATACGGATAATTTTCCCATAATTATTTCAAAAGTGTCTATTGCTGCCCTTTAATTATTTCGCAGAGTATATTGCTGCGGCACACTAAAAACAAAAATAAAGCAAGGAATATGGCTATGGCCGCCTCCACGCTAACCCCCAGCAGAATCATCGTCACCATCATCGTAATAGCCTCAACATTAACTGCCGCCGCAGAAAGGGTCCGTTCGGAGGACGACGACCGCCGAATCCTCAAGGCCATGATGGGCCGGTGCGTGGAGATATTCCTCAACCCCTCCTCGCCCCCGCCCGACAACATCGTCAACGCCGATGAAGCCCGGCAAGTCCAGGCACTCACCATGTACAGCTGTGATCAACTTTTCACGGACATCGGTCTTGCAGCGGGCCGCTTCACTCTCGCATCCCTTCATCAGCAATACCGTTGCGGGTGGCCTGCAATTCTCCGGGGTTGTCAAGGCCGGTCCTGATATAGGGGCAGGATGGGCGGCTGCCCAGGGCCCACCAGGAAGAAGGGCCCATAAATTATTTAGGAGTAATATATATATATATTGAGTCTCGTTCACCTCGGGCCCACAAATCTATTTGAGACGCTTTCGGATGAAATTGTTTGATGAAAGTTTGTGAGTATGTTTTTCATTAAGTGTAGATTAGATCCAAAAAATGTCAACTCAAAATTCAATCGGAAAATCTGTTAAATAAATTATTGAAAAACAGTGTGCTTTATGTATGTTTAAATATCGCAATATTTTTTAATAATTTATTTAACTAACTTCTTAATTGAATTAGAAATTGAAATTTTGTGTAAAAAATCTAATCTTTATGAAGAACATGCCCACAAAATCTTATTAGAAAAATTTGACCAGATCATTTTGTCAAGTGCGCCTGACCAAATCATTGTTTCATTATTCCTTATACTCTAAATCTCTAATACTCCGTAAAAGATACTCCTCAATCCTCATATCCGTAGACTGAGCCACAACGACAGAGCTACACACGAAACACAACTAGATGACTTTCTACCTTCCTCACAAAAGCCGGGAATTTAAAATTAAAATTTTCTTTTAACAATGCCTAAAGAATTGTTTTGTATGACTTATGATACCAAGTATTTTTAGGAACAAAAACATTTACTTGTGTAATGAATTTTATTTTTGACTTGAAGCTTTGGTAATACATTTCTATAATATATGGAGTATATATTAGGGGGCCTATTTTTTGTCTTTTGTCCAGGGCCTATAAATTGTCAGGACCGGCCCTGGGGGTTGTGGTTACCAAAACTTAGAGCCTTCCATAGTATAACTGAGATTCCCGAAAAAGATTACCACGCCTTGAAGACGGTCATGGATTCTTGTGTCCTCCAGTTACTCGAGCAGAAGGATGACGACGAACCGGAATGGGAATGGGATTTGGAATATCACGAGAATATTAGATTCTGCAAGGGGTACTTTGGCTACTTCTTGTTCTTTTATGATTACGAGGACAGACTGACCCCCGAGTTCATCCATGTCATGAGACATTTCGAAAAGTATTACACACTTGATTGGTATCCAAAGCGAATACTTTTATGCTTGCTCACTACGAAGCGTAGTCGCCAAGACTGTTTCCATCTATCCGAAGACAGAGAACATATTCTAAAGACCCCGCCTTTGCTGGATTTTATTACTGATGACATCGATTTAAAGTAGATGTTATACACCAGCCAAGTCTAGTTCATACATGATCCCTCCATAGATTTCTTCTCATTGTCTTTTTTATTCGTTTTTCTTTGCGCCTTTTAATTTTACGTACTTTAATTTTGCTAGAAATATTTCAAATTAGAGGGAGTTATCTGCTCATTAATGATGCCCTTAGTACAGCCACCTTTTTTATCACCAGCTATGATTATATTTATGTAGACATCTACGTTGGCTTAACTTCTCTTCGAGGATAAAAATTAAGTTATTGTTCGTTTCTAGATAAATTTCGATCAGTGTGTGGAATAGATCATTTTATTAAGCTATTACTGTTGTGCCAGTTCAACCCATAGTGGGCTAAAATTTACTAAATTCAGCTACTAATTACTGCGATAAGATTGGTCTTGTGTAAAGCAGAGCAAGCATTAGACAGAGTTGCAACTTACAAGTGTAAGGTGCTTCAGGTGATCAAAGACCAATTTATTAAGATTATTGTGTTAAAATATGCCTGTACAAAACATACTCCTTGTATAAGTACTGAAGTATAGCAATTTTATTTTTATCTTTAGTTGCTTTTTCATTCTAATCCGTTTAGGTTCATTACACCTCTACGGCTCTACATAGGCATTGAATAAGCAATAATTTTGCTTGAGGTACACAATGTGTACACAAAGTGTACACAGTATATATAGCTTAGTTTTTTACCATTTCACTTTTTCTCTTTTATTGAATTTATTCCATTCTTTCTCTCTGCCATTTCCCTTGATCGATCTTCTCCACGCTCTTCCGCTTCTTTCATCTTTCTTTTTTGTTTTGCATTTTCAAGCTCTCTAATATCAACATAATTTTCAATCCTTCTCCTCATTTAGTTGTCATACACATATACGTTTTTCTCTATGATTGGTTCTTCTTCTCAAACCATGAGGTAATGTATATTTCCTATTTTTTGTGTGCTTTTTTTTTGTATATTTTTTCCAATTTTATGTATATTATGTATGTTATGACCTTGAATGATTGATTATTTCATTGTATTGCAAGATATATCAAGTGTTAATTATTGAAATGTTAGGGTAATTATTCTAGTCCACGTATGCCTACAACATGTTTGTTGAAATGACTCAATGAACTTTTTGTTCAAATTCATGATTTTTTCTCGTTTTTCTTATCGTACATTGTGTTTGATGAGTTTTAGACTCTATGTTATCGGCTTTCCAATCTTACTCTAATATAATTTTTTGATTGATTATTGTTTGATTATTATGAATTTGCTAGATGTTTTTTTTATCTTAGGGCTATGTTTTTTGGAGGTATATAAACTTGTCTATATAGCCTTGTAGTTTATATTATGATTTGTTGATTTACATTCAATGATCTTAATGTTGGTAATTCTTGAATGAAATAACGTGATTCAATTCATAAGTAGAATTAACTACGTATACATAGTTCTAATGAATTTGTTATAATGCTAGTGAAATTAAATGTTGATATAGTGAAGTTAAATATTACTTGTGAATTTTGATTGGTCATAGTTTATGATAAATTAAACTCACTTAACTTTATACTATCATTAGCATTACATAATTTTATCTCCATTCTTAGCATAACATTGATAAATTAAAAGAGGGATCCATGCTAGTGCAACTGTGCAACAAGATTGTTGAAAAGCTTGTTGGATGGTTTCTTGCTCCGTTTATTGGATGGCATAGAATCTCTATGGTATTTTTGTTTCAGGATGTGTAACGAATGTTATGATTTTGAATCTAGTGCTTTATAGCAAAAAAGGAGTGTTGGAGCAAAGGTGATGGAATATGAGATTAAGGATGTTACTACAACTTTTACCTTATTTGTTGACATATTGGATTCATTTGAGGAAAATCCATTTGTTGGAATGTTGTTTGCTTTATGTAATCAGACTTTGACATTAATTATTAACATATTGGTCATGCATAGGGAAAATGGAAACTAATAATCCAACCTTTTAGCGGTCTTCTTTTAATAGTCCCACCTTTTTGTTATTCATTAATAATCCAACCTTTGCACCTCATCTTCATTCACTGGTCCCTGACCGTTTGATGACCTGCTATTCCAAGTTATTTTCTTATCTTTGCAAAATATTATCTTTGTGAAAGGTGGAATTTATGGTATAATAGTTTGCAGATATGAGAAAATAACTCGGAATAGCAGGTCATCAACCGCTCGGGGACCAATGAATGAAGATGAGGTGCAAAGGTTGGATTATTCATGAATAACAAAAAGGTCGGACTATTAAAAGAAGACCGCTAAAAGGTTGGATTATTAGTTTCCATTTCCCCTCATGCATATTGGCTAAGGCCACTATTTTGGTTTATTGTATCTTAGGGGGATATGTCCTCATTTTGGTTTACTAGTCTCATTGCTTTAATTGTTGGATGGTTTGTATATCCATTAGGTGATAATCACGTTTAAAAATTGTTTAGACTTCCATATTATTTTTATCCTTACTCTCTTAAAGATCACATACCGCATTCAATAAAATGCTCAAAGACATGCTCAATGAATGATTGAAGTCAACCAAGATCTTGTATTATTTTTCACTAATATTAATTTTCTTGTATCCATGTGACATTGTCATTAAGATCTTTCACAATAAAAATATAATCACTTCTAGAAATAATTACACCTAATGGTTTTGTGAGTCACAATATTTTGGTTGCCTCTATTTATAATTTGAGACACTAAAAATTAGTTCCCTCTAATTATAGTTTAACATGATAAAACATGATTGTGTCTAATGATCTCTGGTTAAGACTTTAACATGTTTCAGTATTGTCTCTAATCGGACATTTCATGTCACGTTCACAGACAATTTCACTTAACATATTTGCTCATTTCAGTGGCTATTGCATGTGATCGGACAATTCATGTGTGGTTCACAGACAATTTTACTTTTCATATTAGCATGTTCCAGTGACTATTGCATGAGACCCGACACTTCATGTCTGATTAACAAACAAATTCACTTAGCCACTAGCATATTTCTGTGACTATTGCCTGTGACCAAGCATTTCATGTCTGGTTCACAAACAACTTTACCTTGCACATAAGTATGTTCCAATGACTTTTGTATTTGACCAAACACTTCATGTCCGATTCACAAACAATTTCACTTAGCCAGTAGCCTGTTCTCGTGAATATTGCTATTGACCAAACATTTCATGTTTGGTTCACAGACAATTGTACATTGCACATTAGCATGTTCCAGTGACTATTGCTTGTGACCAGACATTTCATGTCAGATTCACAAACAATTTCACTTGGCCGGTAGTATGTTCCCGTGACGTATTGCTTGTAATCAGACATTTCATGTCTACTTCACGGACATATTCACTTAGCTCATTAGCCCATCCAAGTGGCTATTGCCTGTGACCAAACTATCATTCTTGCTTTTCAAATTAACTAATTTTATAATCATTTGTTTTATCAATATCTTGTTCAAAACAAGATACATCTTTGATGATAAAAGCCAATCAAAATCTAAATTTAATACAAAGAGTCAAATAGATACTTTTTATCAATGTTACAAATATGACATTAAAATCAAAGGAAAATAATTAAAATCATTACAACACAAGGAGGCAGGAATTTTCCCAGAACTAAAACACATCCATTATTCCAAACTATGTCACAATGATGCTCCATAATTGGTAACCTTTCTAACTTCATTTAGTGATTCTCTAAGCTATCTGCATAATACAAACCTGCATACTCTAATGAAATTAAATCAAATTAAGCAAAACTGGTTTTCCTACTAAAAGATCTAAACAGCCAGTAAAAGTAGGTTGGGTTTCCTACTATAAAACTTTAACAAAATTGCAACATTTAATTCAGTTTCACAAGACATATCATTGCTTGAAGACTGGGGAGATAAGGTGTGATACATCGAGTGACGTATCCAGAAATTTGCGTGAGGGGGGGGGGGGGGGGGAATTCGTACTAAAAAATTATGATCTCGGAAATGTCACAAACAGTGAAACAAATTAAAAAAAAATTGTAAAATTATCTATAAAGAACAAAATATTTGGTTGACAAAAATACTATGATATCATACTTAATAAGTTTCACTCTATGAACAACAAACAAGTGACAAATTATTTCTTATTTTATTTGAAATCATGTTGATAAATAATGAATCATATAAGGGAGGGATGTATTTAGAATTAATTCAAATTGTGGATATATAACTATATATAGAAAATAGTTTATATTAATTGTAAAAATGTCATGATTGAACATTACAAAATATATGTGAAACTAAAACTGTAACAACATCAAAGTATCTTAAATTTTACAAATTAGAAATAAATTAAAACAATAATGTGTAATAACCACTTAAAATCCATTCCAAAACTTCAAAAAGGGCTAAAATGAAAAAATGTGAATACACAGAAGAACAGGGATTCAATCCCTTGACCAAGGAGCAAGCAAGTTCACGCACGGAGTTCATCTACCGCTGGAATAGATGTCATCTTGTATACAAACACTATATTTTCTTTATAAGACCTTTATATTCAGCACAAAAAATATATAGTTGTAGATTAAATATATATGTATATATAGGGGTAGGGTGGGGGTTGAGTGGGGGCAGCTGCCCCCCTGCCCCCACGTTGGATCCACCCCTGGATACATCAACCATATAAAAAAACAGAATCTGAAGAAAATTGACTTACCGAGCATAAGTGGATAGAGGAATTCAAGCATATCCAATTATTCCAATCACCTGTAATAAAAGAAAAGAATAAATGTATATATGCATAGTAATTGTTCTTTAAGAATTATCATACTCCCTCCGTTTATTATGTTTGGGACAAGGGACATGGCACATAAATTAAGGAAAATAAAATTATGAGGTTGGAATTGAATTTGTAGAACTATGAACGATTTTGAGCCCTAAAGATGGACTCATGGGACTACGTTTATATTGTTGATTGTCTTGCCTCCCTAGTCTGATTATGTATGATCGACATATAAATCGTTCCAAATTACTAATTTCCTTCAGTGTGCACCCATCCACCCCTTCACGGCCTCCCTCATTAAGATAACCAAAAGAACAAGGTGTAGGAACAATGAAATGGACCGCTTAGGTTAGAAATAACAACAAGAATCCAACATGCTCAAACTAGTAATCTTAGCCATATATTACACTCGAATAGCACACCAGTTGTCATACCGTCTCGGCACATTTGTGCTTTGACGTATACTTGAAGTACACGGAGGACTAAAGCTAAATTTCAATAGCCTCCAGGTTCATTAATTTAAGTTTAGTTTTCCTTGTCATGTTGGCACGAGAACGCCGTTTCTTTCGAAAGATACCCAAGTCTCATCTTACGCTTTTTGACTGGGGCTCCCATTCTCTTTTTCGCAAGGTAAGAGGTCTAGCTATATTAATTTTTCACCTTTCGGATTCTCACTAGACATTACCCCATTCTAATCTCGGCCTCACCAAAGAAAAATAGCAATTTAAGTTCATTAATTTAAAACTGAATCCATGTCTACAATGCAATCCTTGAAAGTATCAAATTCCTAAAAGATGACTACTCTTACCCCATTTGGAGCATAGGAACAGTGCCAAAAATGGCTCCTACACAAAATTCCCTAAACTTAGCAAATTAATCCCTTAATTCCCTAAACATCAAGACTAAGCCAGAAATATTCACGGGTAAGGAAACAGGCCATTTGGCTATGGAGCTCAAATAATTGGATAAACAAAGAACGGTCAGGCTAAAAGTGGCTTCTCCTAAAGGAACTTATTCAGGTCAAATGGGAAAATTGTTCATTCATTCAATGAGTGACTAATGCCTTCATCCTCTCAACAACTAGGTTATCATGCAAGCAATTTAAGCCTAAACACTTCAAGGACATTTTAAAAGCATAGTCAAAATGTTAGCCAGTTCACAAAGACACAGTTTAAAGAAAAATTTTCAAAAATTTTGACATGAATTTCCTATGAATATACAACTAACACCTGCGCATGCTAACTCTAATTAATCACATGTACCAACTACTGCCCCAATGCCCAATTCACTCCCCCACACTTAAACTTTGGCATCGCCCTCGATGACCAAAAAATGCACTATGCACAAGGGGGTAAAGAGGATAGGGTCACACATGCTCAACTTAACTCAAGTCAATATTTCAACAAGCGAGTAAAAGAGTCAAAGAAACTTCCCTAAGGCGTTGGTCGATGCAGAACTAAACTGAGTCAATGTAATCCTCGGCACATCATCCATACAACAAGACCCTGAGCTGCAACAAAAACACAAAGCAAAACAACCAAACAACAAACAAAGCAAAAGCAAAATCAAAAGCAGAAATAAGCTCGGGTTGCCTCCCGAGAAGCACTATTTTTAACGTCGTGTGCCCGACGATACCTCATAAGCTCTCAAATTGCAAAGACTGTAGTGGTGCACTAACAATCAACGTTTCCATCTTCCTTTCAACAAATGCCATTAAGTGGCGCAGACCTTTAAATTCTCTAGTAAACGTAGGTAGCACATGGTCTTCATAACCCTCATCAGCACTGAAGTGAAGTATGAAACTCTCATCCTCTTCGGGCGGACAGAGAACATGAGTGAAAACTTTGATTACTCTAGGTGTCACTGTAAGCTCAAAACATGTCTCAAAGAAAAGATTAGGAGCAACACCGTGATCGAACTGCACCATAGAAAAGTCTTTTTCTTCTCCACAAATAACATGAACATTCGCAACCTCTCCTCCAGACTCTGTATCACTCCCCATGAATGCATCCCAATTCGTTTCGTCACTCTTCTTATTAATATCCTCCAAGCAGTTGTGATCATTCTCCACACACAAAGAAATATCATCACCAAGGAATGGATCAAAGAAATCCAAATCTGAAACCACGTAAGAGTGGACCGATGCATGTGTATAAGAAGGGAATTCTTGCTTGTGGAGCGGGACTTCTTCATTATGGACATCATCTACCTCACCCTCACTCTCTTGGACCATGTATTCATCTTTTCCCAACTCATCTTCAGTACCCAAACCTACCTCAGTGGCTGCATCAATGTCATGACTAATCTGCTTCTTACCATCCTCAGGTGTTGAGACTAATGGTAAATCAAACGGCTGGGGAGTTTCTGTATGAAGATCACAGTGATTTGTGACTTCATCAGTTACAGCTTGTACCGTTTCAAACTTTTTCTTGTATTCTTGGAAAAACAACTTCACACTATTATCTTCTTCTTCATCTTCAAACATAGGAGGGTCTTCAAAAGCATCAGGAAGTGTATCATTCATCATATTTCCACCATCATAGTCTGACTCAATCCCATGATCATCCCTATTGGTCTCCTCAGATTGGGCTTCTGTGTCGCTAGGATGGGATCTCTCGGACTCCTCAGATAAGGCGTTAAACAGCTGATCCAAGTGATTTTCCATGTTTTGCATCCTTGCATTTGCTTGTTGATTATTTCAGGTCAGACAGCTTCTCTGAAATTATCTCTTCCAATTCATCGTCTGAATC